CTGAAGAACACTGCTGTTTAGGTATTTGTTCGTTGCCTTTATTGGATCAGATGTCCATCAGTGAGCTTATTACAAAAGGTACTCACTATTGTTTTGATCTATAAGAAAGGCTACTGTGAAGCAAAAAGAACCAGAGAAGCAGTTCTAGTAGGTACCATCTACACCACAGTATGAAACAGAGCCAAAGGCAACACCATAAAGCAAGAGACTCTCTATCTAGGCCAATAAATGCATACAAAGAGTAAACCACAAAAAGCCACATTTAGTTTCACCAGTCACGATACATATTCACAAAACTGCTTGGGAGATGTTTTAAAGTGAATTTCAGAGCACAAGTAACCACCATCTGCTGCTCATTTACAATATCTCAATACTCACTTTTAACACTTCATGGTGACATAGTCAAAATCCTTAAGCGTTCAGATTGTTTTACAAATTTTATACTCTTTAGTGATATTACATACAGATTACAATTTTCCAACTAAATCAAGATATGTGTTCTATTACTTTCTAATCATGAAGCTTGTTTTGTGCTGGTTATTTAATGTTTAAAATAAAATTCAAAGTACTAGTGACTATTCTGTAATAATGTTCTCTGTTGAATTCCCTTATTCCCAGCACTTATTTCCCTTAAATCCAATTTAAACATTGCTTGCCTGAAAATCTCATTAGTTCAATGTAGATGTGAATCCAATAGGTAATTCATATTAACACAATATTAAAGTTATAACTTTAGCTACCAAACCCAATGAAACTCAGAAATATGACAGCCCATCTGTTACTGAAGTTCTATATTGCTGTAGGATATTTACAATGTTTACACACTGAAGCATCATGTTATATATAAAGTTTCCCACTTACGTCTGATTTACTTAGATTTATTTTTAGTACTGATCTTGATAGGGTGGTATATAGACAGACTTATGAACTGCAGTGATTTTCTGCATATCCACGGTAGAATGAAAATATTACAGTAGTTTATCTTAGAATTTCAGAAATTGCTATTAAATAATGTACCTCTCCCCTCCTCCTGGATTTTTCAGGTTAACAGTATAATCTTGTCTAATTTGCCTAGTCTAACTGTAAATTACTAATCTAGTAGATTTGCTATTATTTCTGTGAAGCTACTCGCAAATGTTACTGTTGGATACTCCTTAGTCTTAAATTTTCTTTTTTTTCCTCCAAGATAAATTTGATTCTAATCAGAATTCCTTCTACTACTTTATACATTTCCCTTTGACTATTCTTTGAATTCCTCAAATGTAGGCAAGATTGCTATGATTATTATTACTGGTATTCATGTAGCATCCAAGGACTCCCATCATGAAAGAGGATGTTAACTTTCTGGAAGTGGTGCAAGCATGACAAAAAGACAATGGTTCTTGTCTTTAAGGGACTGTATAAAAATATTTAACAATGTAGGACTATAGTGCACTCTGAAGCATCCTCTAGTATCCTATCTCCCTCAGCAAGATGCTCTTTTATCATACCTTTCATGGGTTCTACAATATTTAGTTTATGTTGCCACACTCAGATATAAAATACTTTTAAATCACATACCAGTTTGGGTTGTATTTAGGTTATTTACATCAGCTGGGGCTTTATCATATTCTACATGTGGAGACTGGCACACAAGAAATTCAGAGGCTGCTACTGAAGGTAAAGGTGTGGTTCACCACAGTTACAGAAGAAACACATCCTCCTTGAAGGAATACATCCCCCTTGTAGCTTTTGAAAGCAATGAGACTGACAAAAATGCAATACAGGCTGGATGCAGGAATACTTCAGCTGTGCCTCTTCCCATCACAATCTCTCCAAACAAGAAAATCACATGCGCTCCACTTGAAAAGACACATCAGAGACCATACTCTGACCAAAAAAGTATTACATTCATGTGTTATTGCCTGGTGTTCTTGATCCCAATTGATTAAGTGTTCTCAATTTATTCTGCCCTCCCATATGTCTGCTGTTTCTTACAGTAAAAGAATAGGTATTTTAACAAGCTTAATGTGAAGATTCAGAATAAGAGCTGAAATTTTACAAGGAAAGCTTTTTTTTCAATTTTTTTCCAAGCACTTGTATAGTTTTGAAAAGAAAACGTTTCCTCTCAATAACCATTTTTCAAGTAAAGTTTAGTATTATATTACTGCTGCATTTCAAGCCTTTCAAAATACTTTCCTTAAGTAACATGAGAATAAGTTACTTTATTTGCAAATTTTTAGCGTGGGCAGTTAACATTATAGGCCAACATTGTAGACAACCAGTGGAGCATATTATTACAGCTACCCTATCTGCAGTGATTACTTCCATTTTTACTGTAGAGGAGTAAGACAACGGAAGGGGAGAAAGACGCTATTTCTTGTTAATTCCTGAAGCTTGCCCTTCAGGACTGCTGTTTGGATCTGAACCGGAGTTCAGTGTGGAGCCAGGATATGGAAAGAGTTATTTTGACGATATAAAGAATCAAAACCAATTTGTTTTGATAACTAGTGCAAGCATTTCCCATTGTTTCCCAAAGAACAGGGTGAGGGAGGAGACAAAGAAGTGGGTTGAAAAAAAAAAAAAAAGAAATGGTAAAAAGAGACAGAGAAGGGAAAACCTTCAAAAGTCTTTCACATAATAAATATCAAAAAGAAGCCAACATATTGTCCAGTAACAACCTACATGTGCACATAAATATTTTTTGCATTTTTCACCCTGTAAGTCTATCAGCACTTGAGCCAGTGACAAAGATAAGCAGCATGGTACTTGTGCACACCCACCTAACCTTCCTCTTTCTCAAGCACATTCATTAAAGAAGTCTGGTGAGCAGGAGGTTTTCCGGTACTTTCAGGGTTTCAATGCAATCACACTTTTTGAATGTACCCGCGTGCGCCTGCAAAAATAAAACACCTTTATGGCCATAACATGGACTTGCTATATTAATATCCTTAAAAATTATTACTCTCTTAATATATTATGACTCTCTGCCACTTTATCAACCAGTATTTTGCTCCATTTCTGAAGAGCAAAAACCAATTGATAAAGGACATTTTTTTACTCTAAAATTTAGGCACTCTCTGGTCTTCCTCAGTAAAGGAAGCTTTGCCTTTTGTTGCAACTGGTGTGCCCTCTTGAGTCATTTACCACTTTGTTTGCCACAAGGTACAAACAGATTTTGCTTTCATTTCATGGCTCCTCCCTGAGGAGCAGACCAATTCTTTGCTTACTCTTCCATGCTACTATCTAAAGAAAAATGACACCTTGTAAAGGTGCAGCAATTTAAAGAGAAATTAATCTCTCCCCCAAAGCTTTTTTTTTTTTTTTTTGTAAAAACTGGAAGGCAAAATTGTAAAACTAAGAGCTTTTCCTGAGAATATTTCCATTACAAAATATTAATAGTCAATTTTATGAAAAGACATCAGCAAGGGGATGTCATTCTCACAGGATGAGAGATAAAGCTTTTTATGTGCAGATGTATGAAGTGAATACAGTTTCATAAACATATTAAGCTGATCCAGATTTGGTGGTTTTCCTCTATCAAAAAACAGGCAAAATGCATCCGAGTCAGTGAAGACTAAGACGACACTTAGGATATTATAGAGTACAAATGAAAGTGTCGAAATGTAAGTGTCAATGTAATGGACTTAAGGGCATTGAAGTGCTAGTAAAAGTCAATACAATCTACTCCACAAAAATCAAAAATACACCACAAGCAGGACACAGAACGTTTTATGAAAAAGCAAAAGGAAGGAAGATGTGACACAGAGAAGCTATGGGAAAAAGGCAGATATGAGCATGACAGAAAACTGTTTCTCCCAATTTTAGAAGAGGAAAGAGTGATATGTAGTGCTTAGAGGGACACATACGCAACACTGTTAGGTTTTACAAGACAACCAAAATACTCCTGCTTGAATTTCCAGCTTTAATGCAGACATCCAATGAATGGGAGAAAAAGAAGAGGTACATCAATATCTTGTTTCCTTCTTTGTGACAAAGTCTTATAAAATATTCTATGTTTCAAAGCTGAAAACAGCCCTGGACTAGATGCAAGAGCCTTCATGAAAGAGCTTGAAAGAGGAAGTTATACAGATATTAGCATGTCATATTTCATGAAGCCTGTACTTGGCATGAGACAGTACTAGTGACAGTATTATAGTTGCTTTTGCCCCTAAGGCAAACCAGTATCTGTATTTGCACATTTTTGAAAAAACTTAGAGTAAGTGATCTTACCAGTTTTAGCATCCATCAAGCTCAAAGATAAAAATCAAATAACTTGCTTTTTTTTTATTTTATAAGCACTACATTTCAGTATGGAATATCTTCAGTGTATTATCTAAAACCACTGTTAGCAGTCTGGGGAATTTCAGTGGTGTAATTTCTCAAGACAATCTATCAAATCCTTATTACAACAAACAAAATCCCTAATAGATATATTTAATGGTAGAAAACAGACAACAAGGCACTAGTGTTAGCATGCTGTTCTCACGAGCCAAATTTCAGTATCAGAACTACTCCAAATATTTCAAGTAAACTGTTTCCCAGTTGGGCAAGACAGGATAACCATTCACCCCTCATTATTTGCATCAGATATGATGGGGTCAAGTAAAACCATAGTATGCAGAAGCATCCCACTTACATGAGGTTTTATGGGAGAAAAACAAACCAGCTTGCAAGTGCTGAAGTGAGCTAGACCACCAGAACAACCTGGCATCGCAAGCCTCTGCTTGCAATTACATCAGATATGAGTGTAATGATATATACCTTGATGATCCATGAGTCTGCATAGTAGCGGAACAGAGTGTCCTGTTAATGTGCTGACCCACATCAGATGGTGACCATAGGCAGGCATATGTGTATCATCAATGCATTAGTACTACTTATGAAGTCCATCTGTCCAGAGTTGTTTCAGGGAAATTTCCATATTTTACAGCCCTTCCAATCAGCAGAACAGTCACTGCTTTGCAAATATCCATGACCATGAGGCCAATGCCAAACTGATTGCCAACATATCTTTAGTATGCTGGCCAGTTTCCATGAAGCAGAAGCAACAAATTCTAAAATACTATTGTCTGTCTCATCTGGATGTTCAACGATCTGAGTAATAAATCAAGGTCTTTGTACAGTTGCAAAAATGGGGCTTTCTCCTTGTGATCCTTCTGAGTCTACAGCTTGTTATCCCGTATTACCATCACAGCACTGTCACAATATTTTCATTTTGTGGGCCTAGTCCAGAAGTAGAAGCCTATGAAAATGGATAATCAGCCTGATCCATTCCGTTTCTCCACAAGGTGCCATTCTGTTGATGCTGTTTTGGTGGGTTTATGACAATAGCTGCAAAATTCTGTCTCTATCATCTCCCAGCCAATACACTAATTTTGCAATAGCCACCTTCAACTTATTATAGTAACTCTTTTTCAGAAAAGATTTTGATGAATTTTCACTATCCCATTCTTTACTAATTCCACTAACAGCCTTTGCTATCCACTTCAAACCCTGAATAAAAGACAGGAAATGATATAGAGAAGACTGATGCATCAGTTGCTAATTATGCTGACAATCTTGGTCATGAAAGGTTGTCAAAGAAGGATACTGAACTGAGAAACTTGTGCTAAAATACCCAGTGCTCCACATTCATTAGGGATGACGATGGTCTGCTCCTTAGCAACTGTTCCTTGCTTAAGAGTTGAAAACTACGGTTAGAAAATTGGCACCTAATATAGTATAATGTGTTAGGAAAGGAAGAGCCCTTGAAGATCACAAAGGAAACTAACCATTAGTGCCCGGAATGTGAAATCACTCTGACAGACTTATAACATGGCTGCTGATGAATTTGTCTCTGCACTGCTTTTATTAGTAGTGACTAGCTATGAATGCCAGTGATTAGAGCTGGCTCTGTGCACTTTGAATGGGCAAGATTTGAGTCAGAGTCAACCCAACTCACACCTTAATTTGTCTGTCTGGAGAACAACATTGATTTGCATCAGGTTCAAACAGAGCAAGCTATTTTTACTAATGGAAGCATGTAAAGGAAGGATTTTGAACTCAAGTATAGCCAGGTGTCTGGAGCTAGCTGAAAAGTATAAGGCGGCAAAATTTATAAATCTAAATACTATTATAAGCTTGTCAAAAATCAAATGAACAAGCAAGATATGCAGCACCTGGTGGACAACATGACACTAAACAATATTAAAAATAGAAAAATATAAACTTGCATGAATCTATATGTTCTTATTGCTTGCCTATATAAAGATCAGAACAATCTAAATAGTTACAAACCAGTTAATCTCATGGTGACAGGGACTCATATTCCTTTAATGAGCTGACAAGTAACTCCATGACTTAAAGAAAAACATTTCTATGATGATGAATGATCAGAATACCAAGACTAATGAGACTGACCTGGTCCTGTTTGAACGTGAAAATAAACAAACAGGCACCCTTTATGGGATTCCACAGTTTCTACCTGTGTACTGTACACCACATATGCACAAAATCCAAGTTGATAATGACTCTGGGAAATTCCAAATGTCATTAATTAGGAGATAATAGTATTTGTCCTGAGAGATATCATAGAACCATAGAATCGTTTAGGTTGGAAAAGACCTTTAAGATCATCCAGTCCAATCATTAACCTACACTACCAAGTCTACTCTAAGCCAATCAAGGGTAGACTAGACTAAACCATGTCCCAAAGTGCCACATCTACCCGTTTTTTTGAACACTTCCAGGGATGGCGCCTCCGCCACCTCTCTGGGCAGCCTGTTCCAATGCTTGACTACCCTTTCCATAAAGAAATTTTTCCTAATTTCCAACCTAAACCTCCCCTGGTGCAGCTTGAGCCCATTTCCTCTCATCCTATTGCTAACTACATGGGAGAAGAGACCAACACCCACCTATATTCAGTGGGCTAAGACAATCCTAAAGAATACATTAATTTTTCCCCTGGAATAGCTATCTTTGCTGCAGGCAACTCTGCCCTCTGCAACATTTTTACTGCAAAAGCCAGGCAAACATGTTTATGTTTATGTTCAAAACAAGCTACTGTTAGTCTACTATACCCCTTTCATTTGCTGCAACAGGCCTCTGGTTCAGCTAGAAAAGAAACAGTATTAATAACACGATCATAGATTTGCAAAGACTCACCATGCTACAGTTACTATTTGCTGAAATGCATTTCTTGTCATCACACCACTGGCACCCGTTTGTGTTGGCAGTACAGCTCGCACAGTCTGCGTATCGGTAACATCTGTCATCCGCAGCAGCTGTAATACACAGGAGAGTCAAAAAGAAACATCGCACAGAAGGAGAATAATACCACATTTTAAACGCTTGCTTAGAGTATTTTCTCTTACATCCTTCATTTGAACTCTAGCCATTCATAAAGGTTTAAGTTACTGTAGGCTGTAGGAAATGAATTCTATTCAGTTAATAAGATTTCCTCCTTTAAAAATTCCTTTAGTAACAACTATATTTGAAGGTTCGTAAGCCTCTATCAACTAAAGGAATATTCACTGATTTGCAGCACACAAACTCTCAGCACAGTGCATAAATTAAGAGTATCAGAAAGTCTCTTAAACTAAAAGCAGCGTGGCCAGCGGGTCGAGGGAGGGGATTCTGCCCCCTACTCTGCTCTGGTGAGGCCTCACCTGCAGCCCTGCTCCAGCTCTGGGGCCCTCAGCACAGGAAGGACATGGACCTGCTGGAGCGGGTCCAGAGGAGGCCACAAAAATGATCCGAGGGCTGGAGCCACTCTCCCCCGAGGGCAGGCTGAGAGTTGGGGTTGTTCAGCCTGGAGAAGAGGAGGCTGCGGGGGGACCTGATTGCGGCCTTTCAGTACTTAAAGGGGGCCTACAGGAAAGATGGGGGCAATCTTTTTAGCAAGGCCTGTTGTGACAGGACAAGGAATAATGGATTTAAACTAAAGAAGAATAGATTTAGACTAGACATAAGGAAGAAATCTTTTACAGTGAGGGTGGTGAAGCACTGGAAGAGGCGGTGGAGGCCCCATCCCTGGGAACATCCCAGGCCAGGTTGGACGGGGCTGTGAGCACCCTGATCTGGTTAAAGCTGTTCCTGCTCCCTGCAGGGGTTGGGCTGGGTGGGCTCTAAAGGGCCCTTCCAACCCAAAGCATTCTGTGATTCTATGGTTCTATTCATTCGTCACTCCTTTAACACAGAAGAAAGATTTTCTTCAGATGCAGGTTTCCGATAAAAATATTAGATTGTTATGCAAGAAGGCAATGGTAAAAGTAGTAAGTAAAAAAAGAATCTAAGACAGATATTAGCACTACACAGACATTTTAAGTCTTTATAAATTAATTTATAAACCTAATAATGATTGGTAACTTATAGTTCTGCCCTTTCTCTACAAAAAAATATTTGAGGAAGAGTTCATGGTAAATCCTTAATACAAGCCTTCAGGACCTGGACTAAAATTTATGTTATTTAAAACAGTTTGGGCCACAAATGATTACTTCTGTTTAAAGGAGGCAAAAATTTGAAAAATCACCGTGACCCAAAATAGGAGAATTCCTACCATCTCCTACACCAATTACCAACATTTAACTCCTGTGTGATTTGGCTTCTTTAGTCCTGGGATCATGCAACTTTAAGAGATTCTCTTGCCAGGGAAGTCTTGCTATACAAGAATTGATGTTTTGAAAATCCACTAAAGTTTCTGCTTATCCTTTAATATTGACTATCAGCAGTTTCTCAGATGATGCTCCCAACCAGATAATAATTGAGTCAAGTAGTATAAAAGAATATATGAAAAATTGGCTTTTGGCAGAATATTACCACCTGAAACTAGAAGGATTTGACAGCAGTGAAGCAGTGCTGTCCACACAACTTCTTCAGAACTGGAATTCTACACACCTCAGCTCTTGCAAGTTTAGTTGTCGTTTATTCCTACTGCAGCAGCTGTACTTTAGAAACTGCTCTAATTTTTTATTTTCCTTCAGCCTGTCTGTGCTTTGTTTGGGTTTTTTAAACAGCTGTTGATATGATCAGCTTTTTATAAGATCCACTTTCAACTGTATTACTTTTGAATTTAGTGTCTCAAGATTTTTCTTTTTATGAAGAGCTGAAACTTTCTAGACTCTAAATGTTATGAAACAGTACAAAAGCAGTACTTCAGATAGCTTTACTTGGATAACCTTTTTGTCATATAAGGCACCTTTTTTCCGAGTTTGCAAATTTATATCCAGTTCAGAAACAAAGAAAAGCTAAGAGAAAAATAAACTGTCTTGAAGCATTGATTAATAGCAGAACTAATAATTTTTTAAAAAACATTAAGAGTAGACTGGCAGTTTAATTGTATGGTAGTTTGTACATGTAGCACACAGCCAAAGTTTGGTTAGCAATTTTATACTGTGCTGAAAGGAAAGATGCACAGAAAAAATAGCAGGTGTATGTAGCAGGGATGCATATTCTGTTCACATGAAGTATAAGAACAACACTTTCACAAGCAATTTATTTGTGACAAGCTAAAATACTTAGGAATAGGGTGCAACAGTTATTCATAATGCTAAATTGCTGTTTCAAACAATATAGCTATTACAACGCCACACAGAAAAACACATGACAAACTTGAACCCATTGTGACATACTGCGGCAAAGGGTTTGTTTGCCTCAAGTTTGTTTCCAGCTGTGACTGTACTATATTCTTCTATACAAATGCTCCTGTTTGGTAGGTAATCTACTTTAAGCAGCGATGTTTTCCCTCACTCTTACTGGTACATACAGACATGAGAGCGCCATATGCCTATAATGCCAGATACCACTTCCAGCGCCCATCTGTGCTCTGACTGCTATTATGCTTTCCTGGAATCAGAAAAATACGAAGGCATATACATATACACACACGCGCGCACACGTGTGTGTGCATATCCCAAAACAGGAGAAGGTGGAGAAAGAGGAAAATTAATTCAGTTGCAATATTTCAAAGCTCACCCTTTTATAAATGCTTCAAACACACTGAGCCAAATCCAATCTAAAGTCATTTTATGCTTTAGCTCCCCAATGAAGTAAATTCTTCTCTTTGAATCCTCTTATGTTTTGTACCCCTTAGCACCTTAAATTTGTGCTCTTTCACACCTACTTCCCTGTATTTAAAATAAAAAAAAAAAAATTCAGAACTGAATGATTTTAAAAATTAATCCATAAATCTCTTGCATTGGGTATTCTCAGAGAGGAACAGTCTTAACAGCCCAATCACTAGTTCTACCTGGTTGTTTTTCTGGGGGGCATTTGGGGTTTTTTTCTCCTCCCATCTCCTACATCGCATTGCAAATCTGACACTGTACGACTAGAATTCACTTACCTGTTTTCTTAGGACATTTTGCTCTAAGGATGTTATTAGCATGTCCAGATTCCCAGGATTCACAATGTTTCTTGTTCCACAGACACCTTATCCCTGGACGAGCATTTTTACACAGCTCTTCGTCTCTGAATGCTTCACAGTTTGGAGGCTTGTACACAAGGATGTCATTTAAAAGAACACTCGAAAAACCCCCAAATATATACATGGACCTATTAGGAAAAAACAAGTTAATATAACTGTTATTGTAGCTATAGATATATTTTCTTGATTTCTTATGTGTCTTGATATACAATACAAAAATACACATAATATTATAAAAAATATTCTTCATCTCTCTCTAATAAAGACTCTGTCAGTGGTTCCATTATAAAGGTTGGTAAGTTTTTCAGTGTATTTCTCCATGGAAGTTTAGACTAAAAAAAAAAAACTGCACTGCACTATATGTATTAGTAAGTGACATATACCAAATGTCTGGAAAGAAGAAAGAAGAGCTATGGAGGAAACTACTCTTTTTTGGAGTCAGATAATGAGAACAGAGTGTGAAATAATGGGCTGCAGGAAATGAGAACATTTTTCTTCAAGATTTCAAAGATAGCCAGTAATAATTGGCAGATGGATATTTCTTTCTGGTAACATTTCCGGTGCAGTAGCTGCTGACATCAGAACCAGAAGACTAGACTTGAGACCTTACCCTTCTCATTTAAAATTAAGAACAGCCTCAGGTGAAAGATAATAATAAAGAACCTGTATATCTGTTGTACCATATACTTCTAAAACAGAATTAATCATACAGAGTTACCAATAGCAGAAATCTTTGCAGAGTATCTCCTATTATACTTTTTTGTACATAAAACCCTACTAA